ATTTATCATATACGCTACATGACACATTTTTTATTTTCATTTTCTTTGTTCTCGTCCATCCCTCTCATTTCTCTTTGTTCAAACAAAAAGGGAATTATATATAAACTTAAATTCAATTCCTAAGATTGGGGAGCTAAAAACAATGGTAAAGCAGAATACAGTGGATGGGAATATGCTGGAAGAAAAACATCTATTCATCTGTAGTAAGAAAAATGAAAGGATACAAAATGGATTACGAATATAAATAGATTTACTTTCCTTGGGCATCATGTTCTTAGCTATATTTTACAACTATAGGCAAACATTCATCGTCTCAGACACTCCACCCAGTCCTGAGGTGAAAAACCTGAAGCCTGTGTAAACATTCCAATGAGTCTGTGTAAACATGCTTGAGCAATCTTCAACCATCTTCACCTTCCTCCTCTCTCCATATAAAGTAACTAAAGCTGTACTGGGCAATCTTGAATATTTATACAAGAAGGACAAATGTACAAAATCCTACAACAGCCAGAGCAAAGATACCAGCTCTTTGCACTGAGCAGAAAAGCACCAGAGCAAGTGTGGAATTCAACAATTTGAAACTTGTGCAATATTAAACAATAGCAGCAGCAGATGAACAACAAAATTGCAATGCATCAAGGCAGAGGTTATCACAAACCTAGCTTCTCTCATCACCCACCCAGTTGTTCTTCTCTTTTGGACCAGTAGGACCTTCCTCCCCAGATAGCTCTACCGGTAACTTGGCAAATATGTTTTGCACTGAGTAACGGAGCAGCAAGGGTAAACGATTAATTATCTTGTCCAACTCAAATCTAGAATCATAGATGATAGTTGGACCCCATTCTCTCATAAACTGCAACCAACAAGGCTCAATAACTATCGCTTCTCCAAGATACTCTGCTGCAACAAGTTCATAATGCTTACTTGAATCTACATACAAATTACTACGAGCACAATCATTCCTAATCCCAATTCCAAGTTTTTCAGAACCCTGGATGTAAGTCCCAGGATGAGGGTAGCTTGCATGTCCACTCTTTGATGAGTAGACAATAGCTTTATTCCCTTCTATGTATTCTAAATCATAAGCTTCAACCCATTCACCACCACTGTGCTGGGAGAAGTATATGCTCCAGAGCTCTCCAGTAAAGTTGCATATGCGGAGAGTATAATGCTCCCAATCACCTACATGCTCTCCAATCTTGCTAAGAGCATAATTCACTAGTCCAATTTTGAGAGTGGCTGGACCATTGAAGGGACAAAAAACCCACATAGCAATATCAGTGAAAGTCCCACCAAGTGCAGGCTTCACATGTACATAAAGTTTTGCACTTTTCAAATTCCCGTGCTTGAGGGTCTCTTGTTGATCATTATTTGGCAAGCCTATCCAAAACTCCCCATCATTTGTTCCACCAGCTGGTAAATTTGAACCACTAGCATCAATGGCCTCCCCAACCAACATCCACTTTTTATATAACAGTGCCCCATTCTTGAAAAACCATGAAACAGAAGATGGCAAGTAGATCTCATCAGGATAAAAGAAAACGGTAGGTCCATAGTAGTTGATAAGTGCATGGATCTGGTCCAAAATTGGCATTGCATGTAGTGTAGGATCAAAATTCTTCAAGCATGCAATATATATCTCTTCTCCAAATATCCAATAGCTACTACAAAAGAAAGTCCCCACAGAAACACCACTCCCTAACACCCCCCGATGACGAGGTCTTGTACTCCAAACCTGGAATGGCATTTCTGAAAATCCAGATTTGGCATCAAGAATAACATGATAGGTGTCACATCTATCTGTCAAGTCAGTTCGAACACATCTCACTTCATCGATATCAGGTTTTCTAGGGGAATCAGTAACCAAATAGCCCATGGACTTATAACCCTCAGGAGGCTGAGGCAACCAAAAGAAACCACATCCTTCCAAACTTTCCTCATTCCCATCATCTGAGTTCCAAACTAAAGTATAATCAAGGGGCTTTTTCAGAGCCGGTGAGTCCACATCGCTAGAATTTATTTCTGATTCAGAAGAAGACACCTCCCGAGCAGCAAGAACAAAACCCCTTAAAGGCTTATCATCAGGTTGACAATAGTAACCAAGGCAATGAAATCCATCAGGTATTCCCACAGGTTTGTAAAATGAGACTCGCTTTTTCTTGTCCTGCAACATACTGCAGCTCCAAATAAATTCAAAACTTGAGATTTTAACAACTTCTAGCTCCCCAAGATTTATTTTTCCAGAAGCAAATCCCCGACCTGAGAGGATAAACATGCGGCCAAGACATTGAGAGGGACAACCAAATTTGAGAATATAACAGAAGTCTGAACTACAATCAACCAATCTGAACTTTAAACATGAATCTACACTAAAACTCACTAGATTCAAACTTACAGGAAAACTTTAAAGTTTCAATATTTTTTAAAAACCTATAACAAGCTTCTGTAAGTGCAAACTGAAATGTAAAGGAGGGCAATAGAAAGCTTGTAACCCAGAATTTCAATAACTTCCCAATTAGACGGTAGGACTCCCAAATGATCAACAATCATTTTTGAATCTAAAAAACACACTACAAAGCAAACTTGAGTCACAAAGGGCAATCGTGAACTCATCCAAGCAGGCACTACCAACTCACTTTACCAAGAGAAAAAAAATGACCAACCATTGAGGGGATTTGTGGCACTATTCTAGCAAGGATACAGAACATCTGGACGTAGGATCAGGGTTTGATCCTCAAAATCCAGAAAAGAATTTGCTTCTTGACAGGTCTAGCCTCATTGATGCAATAAAATCCACAAACACTCATAAAGAACAACCAAAAGAACCAAAATTAACCCAGAAAAAACCCAATTGAACAAGTGTAACAGAAAATTATTAAAAAAAGAAAACTCATGCGTACCCATTAAAATTACAAACGAAAAGATTTCAGAACCTACATTTCAACGTGCAAAGAAAGAAGAAATCAAACCAAGGTTGAAAATTCTACCTGGGGGCCATTGGGGCAGTGGTGCTGGAAGCGAGAAAGTCTCGGGCTTCGAAGGTGGCATTCTGGACACCGAATTCCAGTGGAAGCATCTGCACCCAAACATTCTTGTTTGCGCCTGAAACTAACCCTTTCACAGTTTTTCTCCGAAACAAGACGATCAAGGCTTCAACTTTTTTATGGTGAATTGATTTTGATGATTGTAGGATCCCTACCCAGCTGGCATATTCCTAAATTCTGTGAGATCGAATCTTCATCATTTTATAGAACCATGCTTTGAATGGGCGTTCAACAGAAAAAGGTAAGCTGCATTATTATTTTTATTATATTGGTTAGCATGAATATAACAAATTATCGATTGAGATTTTTGAACTTGTATAAAAATACCCTAAAAAAATAATGTTTCTAATGAAACTTGTTTTTAAGAGTTTCATGTTGTTAAGTCTGGATTAGAGATTACACTAAGAATTTTCAGATGAGAGAAGGACGCATAATATTAGGGGTTAATCTTCTATCCAAAAATTTTTGTTGTGCAATTTGATTTTTTGTTATTTTTAATATTAAAAATTAAATATTTTTAAAATTAAAACCCTAAACTCTAAAATACCTTTTTTAATTGGAATAATTGCTAATAATTAATTGACATGTTACTTAACCTTTCGGGTCAACTGAGAGCTTGTTAACTTGAGGTACATTCTCTCTTTTTATAGAAATTCGTCCCTTGACAATTT